GGTGGACGAGGAAGAAGAGAAAGAAAAAGAGCGGCAGAGGCCGAAAACGATCGGCAGCCGACCGGTTCGGACCGGTTGAAAAGGGTTCGACACTCGTTTCGTCGGAAAGTACGGTAAACTGGTGACAAGTGGTCTCGATGGTGGCTCGAAACGCGCCTGTACGCCGGAAAAACTAGCAGACGCGCGATGTCCTTTCGATTCGGCGCTCGACGAAAAAGTTGCAACGTCGTCGTTGCATCGATTAGCGGCCACGGTATCGTACGTCCGGCGATCGCATCGATCGCCGTCGTAGAGGCGCGCGAATCGCCCGCTCGCTCGGTAGAGCCGCGAGCTTTCCTCTCTATTCGTCTTCTCGCGCCACGGATATCTTTCTTTCGGCTGGTCTTTTTCTCGGCGTTGCTACTACCTTTTACAGATCCAAGATCGATCCTTTCGACAGATAACGACGCGTTCTCTCCTCCGTTTGGCATTCCGAGGCGGAGGTGTCGCTGTTCTCGCGATCGATACGAAAAATCGCTCGTTCCTCGCCGCTCGTACGTTATTTCCGTCAGGGGGTTAATCGATACCGGGAATCTCGCGGCTGTTCTTCTTCCTCGAAGCTCATGCAACATTTAACTTTTCGCTATATTCTTCTCTGGACTGGCGCGGTCTCGGCACTCGGCTCTCGTCTCGCGACTCGACCACGACTCGCGAGAGATCCTCCTCTCCTCTTGTCTTTCTTTCTTTCCGTCTTGTCTTACTACCGTGTATCCCCTTCTTTTTTTCTCTCCCTCTCTCTGCTCTCTCGTTGGAAATACCGATACGTCGGTAGAAACTACCGCGTGCTCGTCTCCTCGATCGTTCTTGCCACGTCGAGACACCTGCCTTGGATTTACCTCCGCTATCCGTACGCCGTAGACGAATCCTTCCCGTCGTCCTGCCTCGTCCCCCTCGTCTACCCCGTATTCTATCCGTGTCTTTTGCCTCCTGGCAAAACATACTGGAACACATGTTCCGCCACCTCTGTGACACGCACCGTGGAACGTAAAACACCCCGCGGTATACGCGCCCTTTTTCTGATAACTCCACGACAATGTTCCTTCGTGCTTTTTCTTTTCTTCTTCGTTCCTGGTCTCTAACGGAACTCGTTACTCGCGACACGGAAACGTTTTACCTAAATTGCGATCGAATTACGGACACGAACATCGTAGGAAGAATTCTAAAAAAATTAGCAGAAGAAGCGAAAGCGATGTCTAGTCTATTTAATTATCGCTAGCCAGCTAATCGCAAACATGGTTGAAGCACCGCACGAGAATAGCAGGAACGTCGTCGGTCGAAAGAAAATCGAAGTTTAAGTAGAGTTTTCGCTAGGCGTTCTTCTCGATTCGCGTCATCGGTTTTCCAAGAGTCGACGACGTCGAAGAGAGAGACGCGAGATCTTCTGGCTCGTGCGGCGTTCTAGCGACGAAAGGAACGAAGGGGGTTTCGCGAAAGGTGTGCAAAATACTTACTCGTAAGGGACAAGTAATAGGAAGGGGGTAGTCAGTGGTGGTGCTCTTAGCGTGGCTCGCGATGAAACTCACCTCTAATTAAAACGTCTGGCAGGTTGTGCAGGCCCTGCGGCGTCCACCCTCGCAATGTTCGCAATGCTCGTGTGCCGGCGTAAGAGCCGAGTTCCACGACGCTCGTGGAGGGCGGTAGTCACGATTGCGTCGAGGGGGTGCTACTGGGGAGGGGTGCTTGGCTTCCATGATCCAATAACGCCGACTTAATTAACTAACTGCTAACTCGCAAGCCTGTTAGCTCATTGATTTCGTTCCTGAGATCGTCGTTCAGCCTCTCTTTTTCTCTCTCCTCTCCTTCTTCTCCTCTTTTTCCCTTCTTCTTCGCTATCTCCTTTTCTCTCTTTTTCCATGCTTTTAATATGTCCTTCGAGGACGCACTTACGATTTATTTTCTTTATTTATACCAACTTTTCTTTCATACGACTTTACGGTACATACATTTTATTCTATATCGAAGCGATACGTTGTTCGCAACGTTAGGATGTCGTTGCCCCGAAGAATAGGATTTTCAGCGCGAAGCATCTTTCTCTGCTATAAGAAAAGAGAAACGTATCATCCTCTGCGACTATTATTCGAAGTCAATCGATTCGAAATAAATCGTCCGATTCGCGTAAACGCTATTGTTTCGCTTTGGAGGAACTGGTAAACGTGCGATGAATCGGGAATCGTCAAGGGTACGGAAATAATTGTCGTTCAGATACAGGTATCTAGCGGTAAAAAGTGTCGCGTCGCGGTCCCGCTTCTAATCTCGTTGACCGGATCGATGCGCCTTGAAAAAGATCTCTCGAGGGTCGCGCGATAAATTAATGCGCTTTATCGCGGCTTCTTCAGGGTCATCCTGGCTAGTGTTCTTGTCAAAGAGAGCCGCGGTTAATGCGAATACGAAGCGAAACGTTTCTTCCTCATCTTCATCTCCTTCTTCTTCTTCTTCTTCTTCTTCTTCCTCTTCTTTTTCTTCTTCTCCGTGCTTCGGATTAAAGGAAAGTACCATCGTATTGATATAATAACTTGTCTTCGATCATCGATTCGATCGAATTCGCGACATGGATCACGATAAATGTCGTTTCGCTTTATCGACGATCTTCGATAATATGGAAGAAGAAACGTGTTCAACGTCGTAACGCGTTTTAAGTAAAGCATATTAATATCTTGGATAAAAATATAACAGTAGCGGTTTGGATTATCGGTTATCGACGTGGCGTCGCGGCGAGCAGCGACCCGCGTAAAATACGATTACGAAAGTCCTCGTTCGATTTCGGTGCTAATCTAATCGGAATCCTAGTCACCGCGGTATAGTCCGGAGAACCTAATTTGCTCATCGATGAATTGTAGGGGCTTTGAATCTCGGCTCGAGTCGACTCGATTCGAATCGAATCGTTGAGCATGCAAACGCGATGCTCTCGATCACGGAAAGATAATCGTCCTTTGTGTTATCGGTCTTCACAAAGAGACTCTCTCTCTCTCTCTCGTATGTTCTCGTCGGCCGATTGGAATCGAAAGAGCATCTCTTCGGATATAGAAGTCAGCAGCATTTGAAACGCGAATCGAAAATGAACGCGTCAAGCATTCCTCTCCAATGTTTCGCAATGCACCGTTGAAACGGGTCTTTTTGCTTGTTGGCACGTAAGCGGGATTGGCACAGATTTTTTTCCAAGGTTTTAACATGGGGACAATTTATCGTTCGATCGATGGAAAAAGAAGGTCGAACGAATCTATCGTGGCAAGGAATAATAGTATCGGAAAGGCTTCGGTCATCTGTAAATCTGTCCGAAAGAGTTACGCTTTCCGGACGATTTCTGCGTAACGAGGGGTTGTGTTGTAATCGTTGCTGCGTCCATCGATCTTTTCTCTATCGAGCAACCGTTCGAACTGCACCGACCATTATGAACATCGAATGTTTTCTAGAAAATCCTACTTTATTTTTTACTTTTCGATTCGATCAAGTCGCAATCGTTTTTTTACTAGTTCTTTAGAAAGTTATTTGGAAAATTTATTATCCGATCGCTTGTACTTGCAAACTCGCTAATAATCGATCAACTTTGTAACTCTTTAACCGGTTTTAAATCGTCGCGCTTTACGCGGTCATAGATTGATCTTATAGATCGCGTCGGAAGTAAATGAATAAAACGATGATGTGGTCGTAAGGAACTCTTTATTGTACGCGCAAATCAGTAAATTTGTATACAATCGCATCCATTCCCGATCATTTTCACACGCACTGTTGCTTCTTCTAATAATACTGTGACGGAGGTGTTACAGTTGCTGCGAATATTCAAATTATCTACTAATTAAATAGATTATCCAACGTTACAAATAAATTACAGGCTCGCTTAATCTAGACGATTAAATTATATTACTCGCGCGGTTTAGAACAACGACGTCGATCGTTCCGTTGATGGGAACCAGTTGTCGTCAATCGGGCTCCCGTGTCGATAACGTATTAATTGTAAGCGTGATTAAAAAGTACGGTCACCGAATCGACGATCGAATCGGGTTTTTTACCAGTCTCCGGTATCACGGTCGTTTTTGCACGACACGAAATAAAAGCGGACTCGTTTCGTATACCGTAGTCCGCAGCGTTTGGTACTTGGAACTTTATTTCGTAAATTTTCCAACTTCGAGTTGATTAGAATTTTGTTCGAATCGTGAAAATCTCGAAATAAGTTATATTTGTTTGCATATTCTAATATTTCGATTCGTCTATAGGGTTCGAACAGAATTGTAAGCCTCTCGAGGTATTTACAGGGTGAGAGAGAAAAGGGTGGACAAACTTCGGCATCTTATTCCGAAATGCTGGAATATTTCTCGTCGCGATTACCTGGCATATTATTCTTTTCTGTAACGGATAAATAATGTTCGAAGGGGGCAGAGTACGTCGTCAAAGTTTGTCCACCTATTTTTATGCCTGCCTGTATATTCGAAACGTTTCCAAGTGTTTCATAGCCCGTCGAAATGTATTTGACGTCGATCGTCTTCTTCGTTTCATCATTTTTCCCTCGGTCGCTTGACGATAATCCAGCTGGCTGCGAGGAGAACAAACAGAAACGTTCGTTCGATGTATATCAACGTTTGTTCACTTGCAAACGGTGATCCACTCTTCCACCGTGCAATTTTGACACTGCACGTAGCAACACCAGTGAAATTTGCACCTGCACCTCTCGACGCGTCGTTGCCTGACCACGTTGTACCCTCTGCCGCAGCAGAGACTGCCGCATCCGTCCCCGCCGGAACTGGTCTTGTTGCACCTTCGACCGGCGGTACCAGGAATGTCCGCGCTAGGATCCCTCTCGCAGAAATTCGGCGATTTTTGGTAATAGAACAGCTGTTTAGCGAGATCGCGAGGCCTCCTTTTACGGCCACCGCCACGATGTTTCCTTTGCCTCTGTCGATCCGGCCTTCTTCTTCGCGAGCCTCTCACTCGAGTCAACGGTGTCACGCTGCCTAGATTGCTCTGTGCCACCAACACGGCGTTTCGGAAACGATCCTTTAACGTTTTCCCGACTAATCGAAAGTCCGGCGCTACCTTCCAGCAGGTCTTCAGCTCGCAGGAGCCGGACATGCCGTGACACTTGCAGCGCACCTGCATGTTCGTCGCCACCGCCTAAAATTTCGAATCGAGAGTAACAAACGAACGTGGTAAACGCGCAAATTTCTAATAAATTTCGAACGAAGGGCAACGATCGTTGAATCGCGATATTACAGCGGGAGAAATGACAGCGAGATAAGCAAACGAGACAAGTAGGTAGAACGCGGAAGACTCGAGCCTTATTCTCCGCGGACTCTTACGTGCTCGAATCGATGATTCGGATCAGCGAACACGCGTAGAATGGTCAAAGAAGGGGCAGGTATAACGACGGAGGAAGAGCAAGGGGGTCAATTTCTTTTAAACAAAGAGGTGTCGCGTACAAAACAGTTAATGAGTCTACGGCTGGGTGGTCCAGCCCCGGGCTTCGTCTTAATAACGTCGAGGCGAGACCGAGCGTGGAGAGCCGCGTGGAGGAGAGAAACGGACTCGCTCGTTCTCCTACTACTCTCCACCCTTGTTCACCGTTTCCTTTTGTCCTCTTTCTCTTTCGCGTTGTTTCTTTAGTCGATGTTCTAGCATCGACGAGCACGGATCAACGTTCAAACGCGAACAATCGAGCGAAACGAAGAAAAACGCTCGAACAAGAAGCGTATATCGTCGTGGAATGAAATATTTATCGCGAGAAAGAGCGAGACTCGATAAAAACGGGGCGAGAAGAAAACAACGAACGAAAAGGAAGATTAATCGAACGGCTTACCAAGCGACCAGCCTGATTGTTGTGGAGATTGACCGTCGACTGTATATCCCCGACCCTTTCGCGCGTGTCTAGGAACTGTCTCGAGAACTCCATGCCGTAATCGAGGTTGTGAGAGCAGCCGCCCCACTTCCATTGCGTGCCCCTGGCCTTGGCAGGAGGTTTACCCTTGTAGCTGGACGGGTCGCATCCGCAGGAGAGTAGCCGTCCCATGCTGCACGCTCGGGCAACGCTGTGAGCCACCCCCGCCGCGGAGATAGCGAACGCGAACGCGGTTTCTCTGTAACCTGTAAAAATCGATACTTCTTTAGAAAATACTGCTGTCGAGTTTCGATAACTGCGGGAAATTCTATTTAAAGATTCGTTCGGGCAATTGAGAGGAATCCGAAACGGTGGGATGCGCTAACGGCGGAACCATTAGACGTCGTAGTCGCCGTGATCTGTCGAGCGGAAGGAATCGAGGAGCCAACGTTAAAAATTTCGGCGACAAGCGCAAGTATATCGGGGTTGTAGGTATCGAGATTCGAGCGTAACCGCTGCCACGGGACGCGGAGAAGAAAGATGGAAGGGTAGCGATCGAGACGCGAGGACCGGTTAGCAAATTGCTGCTCGTCCACGGTGACGCCATTCTCACGGCGGAAGAGTAATATACGCAACGACGACAACGGCGGTCGTCGATCGTCCGAAGCAACGAGAACGCGAAACAGCGGGACATCGTGGATCCCAGCTTCCGTAGAAGGAGTCTCGGTAGCGACGATTCGACCGACAGACAGCCATCAGACAAAGTTCAGAGGTAGATTATTCAGCCGTCCGTCAAAACAAAGCGTGGCCATCAACAGCGGCGGCCGGCGGGCATCCATTGTGACTGCATGTATAAACGATCTCCCGATGGGGTTCCCGAACACGCGATCCCAAACTCTAACCGCGTTTCCCGACAATTTTACGTGCGTCGTTTTTGCCCGGAAATCGAACGGGTCCGGAAGCGCGTCGCGACGTCGTTAATTTTCTCGAGACTCCCGAGAGCTTATCGGGCTCGTTTGATCGACGAGGTGACGGAAAGTCCGACGTTCGAAGAGTAGAATTTGGAAATCGGTCGATGGAGGAACAAAAGGGTTTAGACTGGTCCAGTCCGATAAGTAATGCGACGTCAAACGCACTTTTTCTTCGCTACCTCCAGGGTCTGTTCGTCCCCGAAGCGTCGACTGGAGTCGGATTGACGGATGGTCGATCGTCAAACCGCAATGGTGGCTGTCAACTTACAAACGATACGACACACGACTGTCCGCATGGGTATTGGAATACGCGCGGCTCCAACTGTCCTTTCTCCTCTCGACTGCTCGACAATGCCCACACATTACTCTGCCTCCTGTTGCTGCCTTCGAAAGAGCTACTCCAATCCACGAATACCGGGCGGTATTTGCAGTATTCATGAGAGACCGGGGAGAGACGACGCGCTAAAGGCGCATTCGAAAGGATTTGTGGTATTCGTTCCCGACACCCGATGAGCCACCGTGCTGTCGTCGCGACTGCCCCTCTCGACAAGCGTCCCTTTTGTTCTTTCCGTTTTCGGACCGTGTTTTCGAACGCGACTCGCGCGTCAACTTCTCGACGAAGAAACGCGTCTTTTCCAACGGTTCTTCTCTAATTTTCCCGTTCCCGCGACGAGCGTCTCGCGATCTTTCCTTTTAGCCGAGACTCGATGTAACGGTGCCACGGACTCGCGTCTCGACGGATTCAACAGACAGCACGAGTCCGTTTCAGCGCGAGAGATCGGACAGCCGGCGGTCGATTACGTCGCCCTTCGTCGATCGGAAGAACCCTGGACGACGTTAAAGAGTCGACAGTCGCTCGATCGGTGGGCAGATTTTTTCTCGAGATCGCCGTGTTCGATAGAAACGTCGTCGACGAGGAACGATCGAGGGATCCGCGAGTCGAATTTGCTCGGACAGGATAGAGCATCGGATTCGTAGGGTATCGTTGCCGGATCCGGAGTTATCGTTCGCTGTCCGAACCATCGGATATTTCGTGTTCCTTCCTGAAAGGATGATAGCCTCGTCGATTCGGCGAAGACCGGCTTTCGTGGACGAAACGAAACGAAAACTGCTCTTTATATGGTCTCGCGACGGGAGGGGCGATCGAAAGCTCGCGCTTTATACGGCTATTCGCAGCAACTGTTTTATAATGCAGATAACCATTGGAGGGCTGCAGCTACTGCAACCGCTGTTGCTGTTGCTGCGTCTCGCTGGTAAGAGGAGCACACCGGAGACTTTGTAATAAATCCTCCACGGGGAGTTGTGCGTCTCCTCCGGTGGACAGCGGAGGGAGAGGTTGTACAGGTGGAAGGAAGAAGATACGAAGGCTGAGGTGCACGGAGGACCACGAACTGCCTCTTCTCTTTACTCCGTTCGGACTGTGACGCAGGGACGCGGTGACGGATGGCGCACTGGCTTTACCCTGCTACCCTGTGTCAAGCCCGAATCACTGTTTAGATAACTCAATAGATAGCGTAGCTGGTACGAGCTTCGTTACGCGCACGGGACCAGGATCTTTTCGATAATCTCGCGGCGAACGAGACCTTTTCCCGTAAACGAAAAAGTCGAGAAAAAGTCAATTCGCGATTGCCGCGCATCGAACACTGTCAGCGACGCGTAAGCATATTCGCTCGTCCATCTAAGAATTTACAAGCGCAAACACTGTCGCCGGCTGCCGGCGAACGAAAGAGCTCGGTGCACGTCGAGCCTGTGGGCAGCGGTTCGCGTTGTGTGGGCCTGTGGGACAGTCAGAAGGAAGACCGTTTCGTGTACATTTCATAATACATTAAGTCGTTTCGCCGAGGTTTAACGAATACGTGGCAAAAGCGAGACGAGATGATCCGAAAGGACGGGCCAAGAAAGGATGGAAGAAAGGAGAGCGAAAGGAAGAGCGACGAGAGAGAAAGAGAAAAGGAGAGGACCGTGTCCAGAGAGATTTAACGATCCGCGTTCTCCTCGAGATACGTAGCCGGCACGAATTTGACACGGTGGATTTCTCCAACGACCGAGTACCCTCCTCACCTGGCCACCGATGTCGTCTTCAAAAAGCTGAAACCGTTGGCAACTGGTAAAGTACGATCCGTTTCTCGGAAGCTGCTGCCCTCTCCGTTCCGACACTAACCATTTTCACTTTTCGTGCGTCGGATAATCGGCGAATCGACCTTTCCTCGAAAATCGGCCAACGTTTGCCACGGTTTCGCGGCTGTTCCGCCGTTGACCCGTTCCTCGAAACAAGTCGTGGAATCGACACCTCTCGTTGTCTGGCTCGAGCCAAAGGACGAGGTAAAAAGGAAAGAAAACGAAAAGGTGTACCGATCCACGAAGGTAGATAACGAGAAGACAGACGCGGCGAGATCGTGGCCACGCAGGACGGAACTTAAGCTTTCAGGTCAGGTGCGCTCGATGTCGCGCTCTCGCGCACTCGTCCGGCACGATATATGTTTCCTCTTTCGACGCACGTACGCGCCACGACGAATTTATATGTCACACTGGAATAGGACAGTCGAGGGGGGCACTCTTCTTTTCTCGTCTGCTCGCTTTTTAACGTAGATTTGGGACAGGTTCTCGGAGCTGGCAGCTTAACCGCGTGTATTCTGATTTAAGGAAGCGCACTCGTCTCTCGCCTACGCCGCGACCGTTTCGTCGACGTCAACGACGTCGTAAAAGATTTCACCTTTCTCCCTCGTTTCCACGTCTCGATGGTCCGTGTCGGCGACGGACATCGCGACTCCGCTGCTCGTTTATCGGCTGGCGAAATAAGTTGTTTTTTTTTCATACGTTGACACTCGTGTATTAGTCTATTAGATTATGATCGAACAAACGAAATACAGAAGATCGAAAAGAAAGATCCATCGCGTTTCCCTTTTTTACCTCTTTGAAGAAGAACGCTGCTTTGCTGAGTTCTACTGCTCGGCGTGAGAGACGAACAGTTCCACCTGTGCCACATGAATTGATGTTGACATTCGGATATCGCCATTTGCAGACCTTTGATCGCAGCCACCGTCACGTCCGGATTCCTGTGGCAGAGCTCGCGTTGCTCCTTCGTCAGGCCTGGTATACCGTTGCACACCACGGCATTGCCGCTCACCCAATCGTCCACGGAGTTGCTCATTAAGCAGGTCGCGCTGTAAATCAAACGACGTTTACCGATTAAAACTACTCCCTTCGCTTCGAACGTTACACTCGAGGATGACTGCACTCTCTCTCCTCGGGCATTCGAATGCTTTCGGAGATCGTAACTTCTACAGAATTCGCTTTGGGACGTTTCTCTTGTACTCGCTGGCGAACTCTTATTCGATTATCGCTTTCACGGATTACGTTATCGATTCGATGCCTCGCGAAAGGATGTTCTCGAATATTGCGATATTATGTCTCGTATGAACGAACTTTCTTACGAGTCTATAAACTTTCACGATAGCGTTCACGAAGGCAAGAATAGTTGGATGAGACCTTTTACCAGTTACCGAGTAAGACGGGAGAGCCGCGAGAAGACGGATCGACACGGTATAAATGCGATCTCGAACGAGCCGAAGCGGAAGGGGTTTACTAATACCTTCTCGAGATTCGTTCCTAACCAAAGCTGCGCGATAAGTTCTAAAAACGAACTGGTTGCGATGACGTTGCTGCAACGAACTCGCATCCAACCGAATCGTCTGCTTTACTTTCGACAGTTTTACGAGTTTAAGGTCAGAGGTGCGATAGCTCTCAAAGAGCTCGCCATAGATCTGTTTCGCTGGGTGTTCCATCGCATCCTTCGCTCGTTACCCTTTTTCCACGACACCCTTTCGCATCGTCGCGATAACGCCATTCGCGTCTCGGAAGAGTAGCTCTTAAAGCGCTATCTTAAGCGACAGCTTCTGGCTAATGGCGGCGCATTACGAGACACCGGGTGTTAATTAATTTCCAGATGGAAGGAAGCCAAAGAGGGATCGAAGGGTGAACCGCAACGAAGGGTTGTTCCGAAAAAAGGAAAAAAAAAGAAAAAGAAACTTTGACAGGAAGAAGGATTTCGGCCGCGAAGCTGGTTCGTTTGATTTTATTCGGTTCGCTCGCGAAGTGGGCAATTTTTTTACGAAGGGCTGACCTGGGTCTGGAACGATGTCAGAGGACGGGTGCAAGGTTCTCGGTGGGTCGGTGGTTATCTGCGAGTACAAATTAGCCGACGAGCTTCTCCTAAAGTAAAAGTTGTGTATAGCACCCGCGCGAACGAGGAAAAGAGAGAAAAGAGAGGCGCAAAGGGATCTCGAGGACCCGAGCAAAAAGAAGAAGAACGTATACAGGGTGCGACAAAATTCGCGACATTCGTTACCGCGACGATCCGACACGATTTAACGAGTCAGAAATACGTGCCGTAAAATGTCGCTCGCCTCTAATCGATTAGATCAGAATCTGAAATGATCGATCGCGATCGACTAATAAAATATTCGATAGCTGAAAAGTAAAAGAAAAGAAAAGAAAATTGTGGACAATAAGGTGGATTTAAAATGGTAGAAATTTTGTCGCGGCCTGTAGATCGTGAAGGTGTTGGCAAGGAGAACCGGAAAGAAGGTGTCCCGTGAAATCTGGCGCTTCTGCTTGTCGCTAAGTGTGGGAAAGAACGGCGCGCCGGAGGAGGAAGAAGATTTGAAGGGTCGCGAAGCAGGTTATTGAGGGCTCCCATTACCGATACACCGTTGCCACCGTCGCTATCTTTCGCGCTATTGATGATCTACGGGAAGCAGATTAATGATCTTAACTCCCCGAAACAAATTACCGAAGACATCGGCCGTACCTGTGGCAGGCTGACCGGGTCGAATGGATTCCTTCTTTCCGTTACCTTTCCTCTCTCGGTTCTTCTGTTCGTTGCATCTCGTTTTCTCGGGCTTCCTTCGTCGCTTCCTGCGCGCACCTTCCTTCGAGAAAAACGAGCAGATCTCGTACGCGACGCAATGGAAATAATAAAAGAGAACGATACCAGGTTCGTATCTTTGGATCGTGTTCCCCGAACTCGTGGGAAATCGTCGAGCAAATCAAGAGGGTGAACGCGACACGAAAGAGAGAAAAGGACCGAGTAGCGTCCTGCATTTTTGCAATGATCCAAGGGGTCGCCGAAGAATCCAAGATGGCGTAGCTGATGCACGTGTTTTATTTAACTTGTTCGCAAGGGAAACGAGACGAGCAGAAGCAACGGAGAAAGAGAGAATCACGGAACGGAATTTCGCATTTAATGGAGGTATACCCGCGGAGAGAGAACTCGTTACCAGAGACTCGCGAGAATTCCTGCGGTAGATATCGAATCGCTTCGTTTCTTTTATTTTCGCGCGAACCAACCTCTTCGACTACTCTCGGTATCGTCTCGATATCGCGGATCTCCGATGAAAAGCATCGAAACGTCGCGATGTCCTATCGTCCGACGAATCATCGTCAACGGCGGCGTTCTTAGGTCGTCTCGATGATCGGGTGGTTAGGATGTTACGCGCCCGTTCCCGCGGTATAGAGTCGTTTTTCGCAAAGAGGTCCTTCGCGTTTTTCTCGTCTTTTCCGATCGATCGTCGAAAAAAATCATCGCGACAAGTGGCACTATTCGATGTACCGTACTCCGAATCAGGATGTTTGTCAGGGTGCTAAGCAGCGCGTTGCGTCCCTTAAACTGGTTTATCGACCGTTACATCACGGGGCAGTTATTGGATGCGGTGATTCAATGTCGTCCCGTAAATACGTCGAAGAGCACGCATGCCTGTATCTATACGCGAGCGTTCGTGCATGCCGCTACGGTTACGGTGTACTTCGGCCTTGTTCCCGGATGCTGTTTGCAATTATTTACGAGAAACCGCGTGGGCAGGAAGGAGAATATGTCCGACGTTTGGTCGTGGTCAGACCAACGAGACGCTTCGATGCTAGTCCTCTCCGAGCATGTACGTGGCTACCTTTTATCTCGAAGACACAACATTGTCACGGATAGTCGAGGATGTTTGTCGTTTCGTGTAGTCGGGACGAGAAGAGCGATTTGTATTCCTGGAAGTAACCAACCAAACAATTCGTCGCGATTCATGGTACCGTGTTTCGCTTCCGTGCGATTTGCCCGCGTCCTGGAAAGCGTCGTGATCTTCTCAAAGCGATTCTTTTCTAAAAGTGACCGTTTTTTAGCGATGACCAGCGTTCTAAACAATTCCGAGCGTTAAGGGGTCCGATCGGGAACTCCGAAGGGCATTACGTCTTCCTTTACTTACTTTAACGCCTCTGTCATCGTTGCCGCGAGATCGATCTCTAAGGCAACCGTGTGTTCCCTGGACATCCGGAGTAACTCGCGGACGATCCTGCCTCGAGGCCTCGCCCGGACTGAACGCGTCGTGACGAAATAGAAGCGTTGTTCACGCGAGAAAGAAGACGTCGAACGATCGTTCCATTGGCGAAAGGAAGATTCGATTAGAGCGTGCAGCGCGTTCGACACAGTGCCCGAGCAAGATCGGGTACAGGCATAATGAAGATCGCAGCGGGATCGTTCGTTGTTCGTGCCGGCTGAAAGGGGCCCCTATTTGCACTTCGTCATTGTACTCTACCTCGAAACCGACGATACGGCCTTTCTGCCTCCACGAAACGTCTCTATTGACGGATTCTTTCCGCAACAGACGGAAAAGAGAAGAGCGCGAAGTTGTGCTCGTAAATTTTTCTCCACGAAATCGGACACGGACATGTTCTGTCCGTCTGACCATTTCGCTGTTTCGCGATCATTTTCTTTACCGTGGTATTTCTTCGCGACGAATATCCGAGCTCGAAGGAACGCGACGTAACGATACGAATCGCGAAGATAACTTTTCAGCGCTCCAATTTGGCTCGTTTTCGCGGCGTAATCTTCCGAACGAATAAATAAATATTCTCGATCGAAGGGAGCGAGACCGAACACGACACGACACGGTGCGAGATATCGAATGTTAATTAGAGAGTCCGAATAATGCGATGCGGTTGTTACAATAACAAATCGACGAGGATAAGATAAGATGCGTAGGAGATGGAGGTTCGATTCGAACGCAGAAAATAGTCATGCGTACGTCTTGCAAGACACATTTCGAACGATTCGAAGCAACGATACAAACGATAAATTCGACGATTACGCGTATAATGGTTTGTACCTAGCGACGAATCGGTTGTCGGCAATAAAATGAATTTCGAAGGCTAATCGAGAAAGTACCCATCTCGTATATGTACCATTTCTGTTCGGATTATTGAAAAACGTTGGTGACACATCGTGTTCGAGCGTATACTCGTTAAACCGAAGGGTAGCAGTGATTTGTACTCACCGACGATTCTCGAAGAGAATCAGCAAGAGCGCGATGGCGGGTCCGATCCTGATGGCGATCCTAGACGGTGGTCCTTCGTAGACGCGTCCTGATCGAGAAGGAGGCATCCTGTCATCGCCCCGAGGACGTCTCTTATTCTTTAGCGCGGTTTGCCCGCTTTAAAAAGAGTCGAGTGCGACCCCTCGTCCAAGGCTGCACACCCCTAGCACCCGAACGGAAGGACCCCTCGCTGGAGAGACCGGCGTGGCGTCGTCGTTCCTCTTTCTTCCTCTCCGTGCCGTTTCTCCGCACGTTTTCCTTTCTTTTCTTTTGTTTCTTCTTTCCTTTCTTTCTTTCGAATCCCACACCTACCACTCTCTTCCTCTGGCGTGACTGGCGCGGTGCCTGTGATCAGCAGTCTGGCACGCGTCGAGGACTCCTCCTCGCCCCGGGCACCGGCGCTTCTGCTTTGACGTTCCGTACGATTCGAGAGCTTCCAGTTTCGTCGCTTCGAGGGGTCGCTCCGAAAAACTACCCCGGGACAATATCCTCGATGACGATCGAACGGCTCGTCCGTCGACTTTCGGCCAGTTTTCTTCTCACCGTTTCCGGAAGTTCCCTCCACGAGCCTCGCGATATCTTACGATCTTCCGAAGATTCCAGTCCCTCTACGAGTTGCTTCACTGACACCGGTCGAGTCGATTCGTTAACAAACGCGTGCCCGCAACCCCTCTGTTCGCGATGCGCGTGTCCCGTGGACGTCCCACGTGCCACGAGAGAAAAGAACACTCGGCGAGTTCGCTCGAAAGAAGAGACGCGGGGCAAATCCTAACCCCGACCAACGAGGAGAACGCGTTTCGAGGATGCAGCCTTGTTCGCCGCAACGGTTCTCGGATTCCGCGACATTCCGTCGACGCGTTCGCGACCCTTCGCGTTCGGTGCTCGCCGATGGAACCGCGTTTCCTCCGATTCTGCTCCGTGGCCGGCGCCGCGCGACGAAACAACGAGACCGATGGCGTATCGTACTTCCGGTGTGTGCGCGCGTCCACGACGAAGTGTCAAGCTCAAATAAAAGAAAAGTCGCCCTCCGGGATCTCTTACTCCTCCCACGCACGCATCCCCCTCCTTCGTCGTTCGTGGTGTTCCTCTTCCACCGTTGCTCTCGTTCCGTCTCTTTTTCTCTACGTTTCTCTCCCTCTCTCTTTCTCTCTTTCTCCCTCTCGTTTTCTCTCTCTTTCGATCTGTCGGTCGCGTACCACCGCGGCTATCGTTTCGTTTCGTTTCGTTTCGTTTCGTTCGTGCAAACAGTCGGAACGGCAAACTTCCCGTGGCCGCGTCGTCGTTACGCGTCGACGAGCGTCGTCGACACACCACCGAGCTGCACGCGCGAGGTGCCGGTACGAGCAACCGGCTCCTACGTTCAAAGGGAACGGTCGAGTAGCGAATTTCCGAGTAGTCGGAAAGGTAGCCGGCTCGAAGACGGTCGAGAGCAAAGGGGGTGAGAAAAGCCAACAGCGAAGATGAAGAGAAAAGAAACGGAAGAAGTCGTGGAAACGGTAGGAGGAAAGGAAACGATACACGATGTCCGAGGGGGTGAAACGAGATCCGAAAGAGTGGAAGGGACGGTGTAAAAGAGAGAGCGCGATAGCGAGAGGGATGCTCGATGAGGCGAAGACGAGAGACGCGACGACGACGCGACGACGCGTGGCCACGCACTATATCGTTAATCCCCGTGTTTCGTTATCCAGACACGCTACTTGCGAGCCGAAGAAGAGATAGACGGAATCTGATGATTCCACCTCCGTTGAAGCTCGAGACGAGGAGCTGTCAGGGAGATCGGTCTGTCTATGATGAACTCGGTGCGCAGTGCGCGGCTACGGGGGCCCTCCTCGCCCTCCCATAGGGAGCGAAAGGAGAGATAGGGAGCGCGGTAGGCACCGAAGAAACCAACTACCCCCCCACCATAACCACCACCATCCGGACCACGACCACCACTACCCGAGCGACGACGGCCACCACCCTGAGAGATTCAAACCGACCAGACGAGGATGCGCGATCGCGAGTTAAACTACCAACGGAGACGGACAGACGCGCGAGGACCGAGAGACCGGGATCTCGACGGAGACGAACCGAGACGGAGCGCCGAGAAAAGCAGAGCCAGACGGACCAAGAGAGAGGGAGACGTCGTCGCGAGACAGAGAGCCTGTGGCCAGTTTCTGCATCTCCCTCTGTTTCCTCCCACTTCCGACCACCTTTTTCTTTCCAATTCTCTTTTCCTCTCCCTTCTTCTCTGTCTTTATCCGTCGAACGATCGTCTTAAAACGCCTCTTCGCGAACCAACAGGTATTTCGCGTCAACTCCCCGAGCTTCCGCGGAGTTTCGTCCTCCGTACCGATCCTCCGAATAACTATTCTCTTCTTTCTCCCTCCTCCCGTTGCTTTCGCTCCTTCGGTAACGATTCGTCGCGACTTACGGGACGATCGAACGATCGACCGCGTTACTTGCCCGTCGAGGAAAGGAAGGAAGGAACGAAGGAGGAGACGGAACGGAAGGAAGGAAAGAAGAAAGGGAGGTTGCCCTTGATCACGTGGCAGGAAAAGTAGGAGGAGCGAACTTCCCCTACCTAGCATCCCCCGGAGGATGCTCAATCGGCATAATTGAGGTTTATCTCCGTTCCCTAACTCTGTTTTCCGCCTACTACTCGAGCCCGCTTCTCCCTTCTCGCTCGTTCCGTAGCTTTCTCCGCGTCTCTCTTCGTCCTGCGTCGTTCGCTCGTTTCCGTAGAATCGTGCACAGGCGCGCGAATGCCGTCGAATCGAGCAAGGGTCGCCGCGGCGTTCTTCTATCGCGGTTACTCTCCAAGCGTTTCGACGCGATAGACCACCGGATCGGTTTCGGCGCGATTATCTGTCCCGTCTCTGGCCTCTGGTCTCCGGCTCGATTCTACGCATCCAATTAGCGGAGCTTTCGGTGTAACGATCGACTCGCCAAGATCCCAAAGTCCGTTCCGCGATTACCGAGGGTGAAACGCGTAAGGGAGACCGTTCGTTCCCCTTGGATCCGTCCTCCACCCCCTTGCCATCCACCTTTGGCTCTTTGTTCTTTTTTCATCCTCGGTCCTCTTGCTCCATCGGCCGAGTTCGAATTCATTGACGTGGTCTGTGAGTTGGCAATTAGTCGCAACGACCCCGTTCGCGCAACTCCGGGGCTACGGTTTACCCCAGCCTGCCACGTGGTCGAAGATCAAACGATGTCCCGAATCAAAGCGAACTAACGCGGGGTCTTCCCCGACCAGAGGAACGTCGTAGACGCGTCTCTTCGTTGATCATCCGATCGAAACGACGACGACGAACGAACGCGCAGGATGCGTTTGTCGATGGCCATTAGAATTCACGTGCCAATGAACGAGACCGCGTCGCGTTGCGTCACCGAGGTTCCATAGAGAATCAGCTTTTTCTCCTTCTTTCGCTTCTCCGACAGAGATTTATATTTTTAACGGCGCGTGTCGCAACGATCGCGCGTCGTTGGCAAATCGCGACGAATCGGTTGCTATATTCGTTGACGCGTACGCGACTCGCGAATGCCGCGTTTATAGTGATCGATACCAGTTTGGGCGGTGAATCGCGACTATGATCGTCGAGACTCGGCCGAGAGACACGAATATTTTTTGTTTACGGAGGCACGCGGGCCGAGCCTACTTTTACTTTCTTCTCGTTTCTGTCTCTCGTTGAACTCGGTACGCGCGAGAACCGTACGCGACGACTCCGCGTTCCAGTCGTTTAGTAGTGGACTCTGATTGCCGGGCCAGGTACCTCGAAGACGCGACGCGACGATAAGATCGTTCGTGCTTGCACCGGAGTTCCTCTCGTTGCCCTTCCCTTTCTCCACGAAACTCCCTCTCCTTTTCGTCGTGTACCCTCTGTCATCCTATCTGGGTGCATTACTTATCGGCCTATCGAGTGTCCTGACTATGATCTTGGCGCGCGAGCATCGATACCATCGAACCACTCGATCATCCTATCGCCGTGCAATGCGCCCTCGTGCACTCTTGCTCGGAAGCCTAATTGGCCCGACGTTCGTAAAAGACTACGAGACTCTCGTCCTCCTTCTTTTCTTTCGGAGTAGATCGCGATAACGATTCGTGTACGACAATTGTGCCCTATTTGTACTTTACCGATCGCGTCTTATCTAATTATTTCGTGATCGGATATAGGGAAAAGGGGATTAAAGGTATTGTTAGAATTATACCTGTTCGACGCGGTCCGGTGCTCGCGACATTTAGCGAGGCATCTATCCACTTACGACTTACGACTTACGACTCGGTCTAGACTCGATTGAACGCGCGCTTATCGACTCGAGTTTGCGAGAAAACTAGCACCTCCGCTCGTGCACTAGTCTGTTACCCCTTGGAAGGTATGAAAATCCCGATAAACGAATTATCTTTCAGCCGTAACGCGTAAAACGTGTTACGTATCCTCTTCCTCCTTCCTTTTCGCTCGCTCGTCTCGTTCGATCTCTCTTCTTCTCTCGACAATGCTCGAATACACGAATTTCATCTCGGCGAAGAAAACGATCACGTATCGAGCGTGATAATCGATCGACCGGCTTCGAGACTCGTTTTCGCGGGACAACGGATCGATTTCGACGTTAATCGAGACGTCAAGCCGACCAAACAAGAAATCCCTAACGAGAAGCGTGGAAAAAGCTTCACGGTGCATCGATTCGTCCTGTAAATTGTACTCCATTCTTTTCTGCCTCGGAAAGAGAAATTACTCGTCGTTCGCCGAGAGAAGCGTAGCAATTCGAACGATTCCGCTCACCATGGAAACTATGGGAGGCTGTGGGAGCCACAGCCGTAGACGGAGAGACCTGTCCGGAATGTTTTAATAATATGCATTCCTGCTGAACGTTGAAAGCGGCGGAGGGGTTGTATTGTGAGCAGCATCCCCTTCCTTTTGCTTTCGTGTACAACTATGATATAATTAACCAGGTATTTTTCTCGGGTCGAAAGAATGCGTCCTTGGGAACGACGGGTAACGCGATACACTTATGGAAGTAATATTAAAAAAAGAAAAAAAAGAAAAAAGAAAGGGATCGGGGTACGAGCAAAGTCGAACGTTTCGGAACGTCCCACTTCCTACCGGGCTCTTAAGGTCTAACATTGTGCCGCTCTTTGACGAACGCATCCGAGAAGACTGCGTTACTGGATGCTCGACAGGACCCGTCATTAACTATTATGTCGTAGAACGGGTGCGTCAAGTGAACGCAACACCCACCGCGTTCCACGGACCAAAGAAGAAGAGGGAAGGTGTACGCGCGTATCCGTCACGCCTCCTCGTCCTTTCACCGTGAATTCGATGCCTTGTTCTTCGCGATTATTTCGGTACAAGACGCGTACGCCGATCAAAAGGAACAACTACCGACCGTAGGGAACGCACCGGAAACGAATCGAGGGGATTTAGCAAAATTACGCCGCAACTACCCACCCAGCGTTTCCTAGTCTCGCGTTGGATCCGTCAACTTTCAGGGTTTACGAGAATTTTCCTAGACTAAACGATTAAATGGCCGACCACAGAAGACGCTCCAGAGAAGAATCCTGTCTAGGTATTGTGTAGCGACTCGTTTACTCGCCGTTGTTGCAGGATGAGCAGCGAAACGCTCGAACAGATATCCGTTACAAAATGGTAACGCTCGATCGCACGATCAACGAGGAGATAGAATCCGAAGGCGGATGATCGGGCATCGTTTTCCGTTAAAAGCCACTTGTTGGAGTGCGCTCGGGCATGATCGATTTCCCGGCTAAAACGTAGCTCCCGGATAATCTGCTTTCGAGGATCATAGACGTGTACCGACTGTTTATTATTCGACGGCACAACGCTGGCCGTGTTCCTCGCGTCTCGCTGGAAAAGCAGGAAGAAGCGCGTTTGTTCCGTGTGCTTTCGCGCGTATCCGAGCGCACGCATCCGTGAAATGTCCCGACACTTCAAAGAAAATCCCAGCAAAGGGAACGAGTAGAAAACACCGGGAAAATATCGGCTACGGTTTTCGCAAAACGTTTCGCTCGGGATTCCATCGCGGACACAATGAACGTTTCGATAGGGACGAGAGTGCTCGTTCATTGACGGAGCCCGATCCACCTTAAGTAACGACTTAAGAGGATAAAAGGATCTCGAGGAGATTTTTGCCTCGGATGGTATACGCGTAACGAGCCGCGTTTGTTCCTGGAAACGAGAAGATTTCGATACATAGTCGATTAAACGGTGAAACTGGGTCGATCGTGACACGTTCGTCCGGTAAACGACACTTCGATTACCGAGTGCACTCGACACGGTTTATCGGTCCGGTTTTATTAAAGATGTTCAAAATTCATTCGATGCTCCGAAACTTACGAAACGATACGATAGTGTAAGTCGGCGATACAGAAAGGGTTAACGCCGAGAGCCATCGATAAGAAAGCATAAAATGGAAGAAACGGGAGGCACGAACTATTCGAAGGAAAAAAGGAAAAAACGAAGATTCCGGAGTAGTCGAGGAGGGCAGAGAATAGCTGAAAATAAGGAGCATCCAAGGATGAGGAATGGTTAGCCGAAGAGATAGAGGGAAGGCCAAAGAGGCGATGGGCCACCATGCTCGCCTATTATGGCAAAGGAACCATGGGGATCCGAAGAGTGGCCCTCGACCAACGGCAATTCGAATAAATAAAGAGGGAAAATAAGATATATGCGCGTGGGTGTGGC